CTCTTGTTTGATACATTACTAAACATCTCCATAGTTCTTTTCTTCACTTGACAATGGTTCCATGCAATGCAATCCTCTAAATTCAGTACAAATAAATGTTTTTGTTGTTGTTGTTGTTGTTGTTGTTGTTGTTGTAGGGGTCAAGATGACTTCGAAACGTCTTAGCTTCGTTTTGCTTATTTTTGAAATCAATTGCATCTGAATTTTATGACGATTTTATTCTAAATTCTTTATTTTTTGATCAATTTGGAAGCTCTTCTAACTACCGTGAAACTTTTTTGAGATTCATGATGATGGATCCAAGATGGCGGACATTGAAATATGTGAAGTCATTTTGGCGTCTTTCACACCGTATAATTTTGATTACTATTTAGTGAATACTCCCAGGCTCTCGAACGAAAAAACTCCCAGGCTAAATAGGATTAAGAAGAGTGTAAACAAATATCTCCCTGTCATGATACCGTAAAATTCGAATATTTCTTTTATAGAAATAAGTTCTTTCTGGGACATCTAGCGAGCAAAATGACGTAGCCGTGATCTTCATAGTAGTTTTGAGGTTTCATTCATTAATTAAAAGCACCCTCAACTAATTAAATGATTGATAAAAGGATTGTTTTAAGAAATCTTACTTTCAGTGATCTTACCCGCAGTCTGCAGAAGGGTCCTCATATACCCTTTTAAAGAAGAGTGATTCGTAATATCGGAGAGCGCAATAGTATTCCATGAAGGAACAACTGCCAACCGCTGACTGCCCGGTACCGCACCACGGTAGACAACCTAAATATCAGAATCTGTGTTAAAATCCATGGCAACATCAAGAACCACGTACAAGACTTGTACGCGGTCGGATGACACTACATCTATTCTAAGACTATCTAGTGTGACATTTTGGCCCTGTCTACATTTATTAGGGGGCAAAAATTAAAAAAAATAAAATAAAATAAAATAAAAATAAGGAGAGTGTTATGGAAAACTAATGGCTCCTAGACTGCTTTGTTAAATGAAATTTTTATTAAACTACGCGTCATAGGACATCTTCCTTGTTTTCTGACAATTATATGACCTTTAATATTTTTGCGAGTTTTGAAATTGTCATGGCAAACGCTCTAAGTTTTGGCTAGAGCTTAGAATTTGCGATTTGTTTAGAAGTTGTAGATAGTATAACAAATGCATAGGTCAACTAAGCTACTTTAGAATGGGAAAGACAAATTGAAGAAAAGAAATAAAATGAAAGATAGGTAATGTAAATTTTATTGTTGCAGTGAGTCAGTCCGATTTTTGTTGAATGTTTGTGTGATGCAGGTTTAGCCCGCGCCGGCGGATGGTAAACACAACTTTCCAAAGAACCAATTCCATTTTCCCGGCATATTAGTTAAGTTCAATTAAAATCAGTGAACAAAATTGAACAGAGACTTCACTGAGTTCGGTTGATCGACGCACACAGATTAGCTAAGTAGGTTGACTTTGCAACCTGAACAAAACGGAAACTGAATCGCTGCAATGTTGTTGTCATCACTTTAGCCCGGCCGTTCGCATAGTGATGGGCAGCTTAAAAGTCTGGGAATGAAATAATCATTTAGAAAGACAAGCCTGAGAGTCAAATGAGAGTTTTGCATTTCATGTTATCAACCCTTGTTATTGCAATCGTTGAAAAACTGTCAATTGCCATCCTATTTATCTCACTGCAAGAGGAAATCTTACTTTGGGTAAACAAAGCCATGCTAAACTACCGAGCCATTTATCAGTACATGCATTATGTGCACAGAATGTTCCTGTATCGACTTGTAAACTGTGCATTAAACAACATATTATGTTTGATTATTAGTTCAGCAACGTTCAGGTCTTGTAGTCAGCACCCAAACTCATTAATTTCATGAGTCTGATGATGTTTTAATTTAACACTCAACCAGTACTACTAAAGGCAGTTAGATTACTTCAATACACTACATTGTTCCTTATTTTCAATGATGATATCAGCATTAGTCGCTCGTGTTCAGTTCACGCCTGAAGGAAAATTCAATAAATTTAGATGTACCTCGTTCCTGATTTACTTACCGAAAGCAACAATAGCTGTAACGATGAAACTTATCATCTTGTTGAAATTTGAAATGATCACCAAGAAACGAACGATGAAGTGGAAGACCGATTTACCTTCAAAAGCACACTCAGGGTCCAAGGTTCCAAACCACCCTTTTAGTCACTTTTTTGTTGCTGGACAAACTGCAGAATTGCAGTCTACTATTTGATAATGTGGACCTTCAGAATCGTGGTCGTAAAATTGGCTATTTACCGAAGAAAACAAAATGTGTAGAGTTATGAGAAAAGAGTTACGTGACCCAGGGCCTCGTCTCCTCGCATTGAATCTTGGGTAAGGTTAATCACATGCGCATCATGTTTCCAAGGCGAAACTTCCTTGTGGCCAACTGAAGGATTTAGATCTTACGATGTGCACTATTTACTTTCACAACTACTTTCACAATTTATATCATCTCAAAAACACCGATCATCTGCATGGTCTATGAAATCTTAAACAACGATTTGGAATCGTTTTCATTAACAAATGGCTCGACGAAGATTTATCAAGATCGCAGTGACTGTTACTGCTTTGCTTTGTGCATATACCTGGTTATGTCGTGCGACAGATTTACTCGAAATGAAAACTTTTAGCCAAGTACTGTCTAAACTGGCCAAGGAGGGACTCGGTGTCGGCGACTTACAGGTATTTAAATACACCGAATGCTATGGCCAAGGGTACCCAACGAGCCGTTTCGGTTGATGTCTTCTAGGGAGTCTCAAATCAGTTTGTTTGGACCCTACGCATATGAAAAACCGTGAATGTCGCCTAAAATATTCAAAGCTGGGGAAAATAGCTTCTAACGTTTTCGGAAGGGTCATATTTGCTTTTTCCTGCCCTCTGAAACGCCGGCTAGCAATTTCGGAAAGATATTCTCGGCGGGTATATCAGAAACAACGATTTTAGTCCCTACCATTCCCGGCCACTTGAATGTTGAACAAAGTAATCCGAACAGAATGAAATTTGTATAGCTGATAAAAATATAAATTTAAAGAGATGTTAAATGTTATAAAGATCTTTAAATGTCTTTCTTCAGCTTCTGGTTGGTTTGGCTCGTTGGGTGCTCTTGGACGTGATGCTAATTCCAATATTAACTGTAATGCGTATGCAGATTCAGTAATTGCTTGTGAATAAGTTATAAAAACAGATCTACCACACACTCAGTTGATGTAGATATGACAACTGAAGTTCAAATTTCGCGAGCAGAATTTCAAAACTAACTTTCTTCCTTCTACAATGTTCTTGTTGCCATCACTACAGGAGAGCGTGACATTTAGCTATTTTAAACCAGACAATGAAAATTTGAGAAATGCCTTGAGCCCAACGTTTTGACGTTTCTGTTGTTTTGTTTCTGTTCTACCATTTTGGGGCACCAATTAGTGAAAGTTTGTCACAGTCGATGCACGCATTTTTAGATCATTTAGCAAGATTCTGTATTATCAATTACTTTATGGGCATCGAACAAAGGTAGGCTCATTTCCAACCTGCGTGCATGGTGACCGTTTGTTTTGCTTTGTAAAGATCTCTATTGTTCAACCCGAGCTCACATTGATCCTAGAATCTACGCACAGACTACTCTTTGATCAAGTTCGCGGCATTCACTCGAGAGAGAGTTGAATGTTCGCTTCCTTTTATCTTTTACGAAAATGGTATTCGATTTAGTTACCGTGTGCAATTAAAAAGTAAAGAGACGATAATTTGGCTTTTTATTGGTCTCTGCGGCGAGCCAGTTGACATTGATCGATTGACTTCTTAACAATTCGCTGCTTACATGAAACTTTCATCTCATTCTCAAAATATCTACTACCGTTGTAACTAAAGGTTACGTCTGTTGACTATAAAGAGTGTTAGTGTGCACTGTAGAATGTTGATATGAAAGCTGGCGTGATTTCAGGTTTGATAGTACGAAAATATTTTAGTGAACCGTACTGTGTCCCTCTATTATTTCCGAATTGATATAGTCAACTTGTGCCAAAATAAATTTAGCTTAACGGGGCTCGAGGCCGTGATGTTGTCAGATGTTAGACTTCAAAGGGCAGCATTTATGAATATGCACAGAATGTATCCAAAATACCAATAAAATACAAACAGATGAACAAGGGTCAACATGTCTCAATTGTAAGAAAATCCTAGATTGCGATGCAAGAAAGCTTTTGACTAAGATTAGTCGCTGCAGTGTACAAATAATACACTACGGATCGATGAAAATGAGTCTTTTACTATTTAGTTAATGGGGAGCAGGGATGGCGCAGTGGCGAGAGCACTCGCCTCCCATCAATGTATTCGGCCG